TTAAGATTCTTTTTGTTGTTTGAACACCCTCTGACACCGTCACAAAAACCGAACACACTGGTTAATAGCTCTGCCCGCAGTGTTCCTTCCCGTTGGCACTGTGGATCACTTTTCTATGTCTCCCGTTCCCCTTCTACTTGGGGTTTCCCCTGGTCCCTTTGCTCCTTATGGTGTGCTTTGCCTGTCACTCCCTATCCTCCGAAGAGTGCCACAACATCCTAGCCTTTTATGGTGCATTGTTTTTTCAATGATTTTGTCACTTGGGTTATATAGCTTTTGGGGTTTGCCTTCAACCCAAAAGATTAATAATCATATACCCGAGTACATATTTTCCCAAATTTTTTATAAATTACTTACACGTTTTACACACACAATTTTTTGGGTTAAAAAGGTGACCTTGGCTGAAATATACTGCAAATTTTCAAATTAATTTGTTATACAGTGAATCGTTAAGTTAGCAAGAATTTGATTCTAAATTATTGTCTGACAACAAAATTTGTCTGATTTTGTCCCAAAGTTTAAAATTTTTTAAATGCCTATAAAGTAATGATAAAAATTTGCTCCTCAAAAAAAGATTGTGACCAGTTTGAAAAATTTAATACAAAAAAAAAATTTTAATTTAAAAAAAAAACATTAATTTAAAATTAAAGCTTATTTTTCTCATGCCAAGCTTTTTGACAACGGGCCCAAAGACAACTTAAGTAAAGGGAAATAAGTACATATTGCAATCTTTTAAATTAATGTTTGTGTTTGTAATTATTGTTTGTAGTGATTTCCTATTTTATATGTATACCTATTTTTTTATTTAAAAATACACTAAATTGGCTGAACTGACCCCATCGCATAAGCAAGGGGGAAAGGGTAAAGTTGGGGGCCAAATAATACGAATGTTGTATACCCCCAAACTGTATACTTTTGAAAGTTAATCAAATTTCCTTAAAGAATAGAACAAGACAATTGCGATATTTAATTTATAAGGGAAAAATACACTTTGTTGATCCCTTTTTTTTTGTCAAAAACAAAAAAAATTGCGTTAAAAAAACAACACAATACTTAATTTTTCCCCAAACAAAAACAAATTATTTTTTTCTTTTTTTTTTAAAATTAATTTTTAATTATTAAACAATTAAAATCACACTATTTTACTCAAAAAAATTCTTTTTTTCACTTTTTACATTTATAAAAATTAAACTACACCCATTTTCACCAAAAACCCACCAACCAAAACCAAAAAAAAAAAAATTCCAAAAAAACCAAAATTTTTTGGCACCCCATTTTTTTCAGAAATGTTTTAACGTGCCTATGGTTAAAAATATGCTGTATCATATTTTTACAGCAAAATTAATGAAACACTGCTGTTTTCAGTAATAAACTTATAACACTATGCAAGACATTACAGAATACTGTTCTTTCTAGGGAAGGGAAGGGGGAAACTTTGATTCTTGGGGGGGGGGCTTTGATTCAAAACAGTGCTTAAAGATCCTTATAGGTTTAGCCCTTTTTATGAACATATAGCAAACTTTAAACCAAAACATTAAAAATTTCTTTTCCCTTCCTTGATCAAAAACCCCTTTGGGTTTTGCATTTCCCAACAAATTATAATGTAATGGTGTCAGTGTTGAATGATGATGAAAGTTTTTTTTTTGGGGATTTTTTTTTTTTTGGGTCACCCTGCCTCGGTGGGAGACGGCCGACTTTTTGAAAAAAAAAAAATTGGTGTCAGCATTATAATTTTTTTTTTTTAACACTGGCTGTCTCTTATTGAGGTAGGACGACCTGACAAAGAAAACACTTACTGTCACTGTCTTGCCAGAAGTGCACTAACATTATTGTTCGCATGACCCTCTAAACTGAACATTCCCACACCTCCATCAGAGTGTAGGCACTGTACTTCCCACCTCCAAGACTCAACTGCAACTAACCAGTTTTCCCTGAACTCCTTTATAAATAGTAATTTGAACACAAGCCCTAAGCTTTATAAACTAGGTATCTGTCTCTTAATAAATTTTGGGGAAGTACAGTAGTATAAGACTGTGGTCATTACCTGCCTCATATCAGATTTTCCTCTGTGCTAACCAAGAAGTTCAGGTCATGTGTAATCAAGTGTATACATGTGCTGTATATTTTTTCCACAATGTACTACTGAACATTCTTCTTATGTAAATATTATGCTTTTTAGGCAGAGCCTGTTATCCTGGCTTTAAAAACATTAATTACTTTGCCAAATAAGCAGAGTGTAAATTAATTGGTGTCATTATTGCAAAAATCATTTGTAGGTCACAAATTGGAATGTTTTATTGAAGTTATATAATACAGCAGAATGTCATATATTGCATGGGTTACATTCCTGAAAACCTGGTTTTTAACATGAAATAGCAATATGTAGACTGAAAAATATGGGTGTACTATGGTTATGTTCTTGACACCTTCAAAAAAAAAAAAGACTTTTTTTTTTATTTTATTATTCATCAAAAATAATAGTTTTTCATTGTAGTTGGTACTTGCTGATCTGGATATGAGTGGAGAGGATTGATGTGGCTCTGTACAATACCTGTACAAACAAATAGCAAGCAGTATTGCCACTGCCCGCCATCAACATTGGTAAAAAATAAGCCATATTTCCATGGCAAACTGTACCAAACATATAGGAATGTACCACACCTCTACCAAACAAACATATACTAAGCAACAAATGCATTTGAGAAAGTAATAACCAAGAAAAATGCAGTAATGCTGTAATAAAATGGTGTGGAGGTGGTTGCTTATTAAAGATTATGACTCCTTGAGCTGCTAAGAGCTTGGCTTCCAGTGGTGTGGAGGATTATATTGATCAATATGCCATAAGCTGTGCTGGCTATATAAACCCAAAAAACACAAGTTTTTCATGACTGTTCTGCAGTAATGGACCTGTGCTCCAGTTCCCTGAATTAAGCCTGAATGCCTCCCATCCCTTTCCCCCTCCCCAGTGCTGTATAATCCCTACTGGTTTAGTGCTCCCCATGATGATAATGTTCTGCAGTAAAGGTCATATCTTTAGTATACAACTTTCATGTTAAAAACTTTTTCACTATCAATTCCCATTTTATTTAATAACTTTATGGTGCAATTTGACTGATAACTTTTGGGTACAATGTTTTGAGTTTGAACCCTGTATGAGTTATATATGAGATTCTACTGTACGAACAAAATTTAGAGATTAACCTGAATTTTGTTAATTTTAGCAAAGTGAGATAAGCTTGCTAAGTTAGCTTCAGTGAAAAATTAAAAGAAACTTTGTATCCTCATTAACTCTCAAAAAATATTTTGATGCATTACAGAAATGTTATGAAAATATCTTAAGGAAATTCAGCTTATCTGACAGACTCTACCTTAAAATATAAATGTGCTAGAGATGTTTGTGCATTTTCAGTATTATGACCAGCATGTATGTATGCATACATGCATGTATATATGTATGTATGTACTTGCTTACATATTTGTGGTTGCAGGAGTTGAGTCATAGCTCCTGGCCCTGCCTCTTCTCTGGTCACTACCAGATCCTCTCTCCCCCTTCTCCACGGGGGGCAGGAGATAGGTGGAGGCAGAGGCAGCAGCTGTATGTATGTAAAAAGCATAATCTTGTTTCAAGAGAATCGCCAAAATAGAGTAATATAAAGTAATATTAAGAACAGCGTTTTGACTCGGCATTAATAATAATAATGCAAGTCTGTTTGAGCACTGGGAACACTGAATGTTTGAGAGATATTGGTCAACTGTATTTAGGAAACTGACACTCAAACAAGATAGATATTCATTATGTCCGTAATTTTGTATCATAAATTAAAGTGAACGATCTCACAGCTCTGTTACCGGGGGTACTTGTGTTTCAATGCTTTAAACTAGCTTCCTTAGCATACTCTTCTTTGAGATGTAATTACCATTCTCAAGTTGTATTGGAATTAATGCCTATAGCTCTGATATCTTCTAAAATATTTGTATGTAGGTGAGTGTTATGATTTGTCTTCAGCCTGAGAAAATTAAGTAACTTTAGTATTCATTTGACCAAACACTATGCTATGTAATAGTTGCCATCATGAAGCCTGAAAATGAATCAAGAACAGTTTTTACTGTAGATCCACATTCCAAAGCTAGTGTTAGTCTTCAATTGCTTGGTGGATATTATTCAAATCTTTTAAATCTAAAAAAGTTGCCAAAATTTAAGTGTTTACCCAAAAATTAATAAAAATTTCTTTAACTGCATTCTTTTATAGACAGGAATGCCTTTTAGAGTTATCAGTGTGGGCATTAACTAGTTTTTACAAAAATATCTTTTTCACCATTTTCAGACATCTTAATTTTTTATTACAAATGTCATAAAAATAACTAATAATACAATCTGTAAATATTAATACTTGCAGAATCATGTATGTGATCCTACTCACAACCTTCCTTCCTTTCATTTAGTGGCAAAAGTTCAATTTGTGTTTGTTATTGCATCCACAAAAAGCACTAAACTCTCATGGATTACTTAGTGCATCATTTGCTTTTAAAGAGTACTTCTATGGCTGCCAAGTTTCACTACTGCAACATGAGTTATTTATTATTTAATGCTTTCATGTGCAAATTGGCTATGTGATGTAAAATGGTGGCATAAATCATCTTCTGTACTCTATGTACATAGCCTATGCCACAATCTTTATGCATGGATGTTACTCCAGCAAATCACTAAAACATGACACTTCATTGTAGGTCATTTTTTGTAGATGGTAATAAACACTAATGTAATGATTTTGAATACTCTAAAAAGCATTCTAAATGTTTATAATCTAAATATTTCACACATTATCATCCTGCATATTCTAACGTATCAAAACGCTCTCCAAAAATGGGAACATTGTTGGAGAATCTCTTTTGCAATCGTTAATTAAAGATGATTCATGAGTGCCATGAGAAAAAGACAGGAGGAATATGCAAGAATCACACACACAGCTTGGGTTAAAGCTTGAAGCTTTGTTGCCTCAAGCCTAGTGTGATTCTTGCATATTTCTACTGTTATTGTCCCATGGCACTGATGAAGCAGCCTCGGGATTGCAAAAAACTTCTGCCATTTCCATTTCTGAAGGGTATCTTGAAATTTAGTTTCCACTTGTGAACTTTTGTCACGTTCTAATATATTTCATGCATATTACAACTGCAAGTAACTCGCTCTGCAAAAGAACATGATGAAAACTATTCCTCACTAATGAACAAAACTTTTAGTTGGTTATGCATCACAGCTTTATTAATTGCCATTTAGTGACGACCATTACGATATTCATTTTCAACAGTTGTGACGGTCGTCGGCGTGGTGGTGGTGGCTGGAACTGGTCTGAGAGTTTGGAAGTGGTGCTGCGTCGGTCCATGGAAGTGTCACTGAAGGCTAGGCTCTGCATTGATCCTCGGGGACCCTGCAAGAATTACACCAACATTAATCTTGGTTTGCTTGTGCTTTGTGTTCATTCACCATTGTTGAAAACTGTGATGTATGGTGGTTATTTGTGATATTTATTTTAATAAGGGTCATATATTGCCTGGGAATGGGAGATGATCAAGAAAGAGCAATGCCAGGCAATTTGTGATAGCATGTTGTGGAGGGTTGTTGCCAGTAAGGGGCTCTTGATCGAAGGAAATTTACCATAGCTCCTCTTCCTTGGAGCCTGATTGCCTCCCCATTTCCAGATATTGTATGAAACCTAGGGGTAAGACATCTTTACCCTATGAATGCAATGGAAAACACATTAAGGTAAATGCAGGAAAAACCAGCAAATCATTTTGTTGGCCTTTCCTGCATTTGTTTTAGTATGTTTCCCCACCATTGTGAATTCATAAATACAAAAAATAGAAGATTTACTCTATTTCCTAAATACGTATTCACTTAACACTTCCCCAAATCTCTCTCATCTCGATTCATGTCAACTGCTGGGTCTAACATACATTCATGAATGCACTGATATATGTATTAGTTATATAATTATTACAATATTGTATAACAGTAAATCTTCTATTTTTAGGTGTGAATGAAAAATGAAAATAGAATTCATCTGTAATGCCTGAAAATGTAACTTAATAAACAGAGGAAATGCTAGTTTAGTGCCAGGAATGCCTGAATTGTTTATTCTGGACCCTATTTTGAAATTTTTTATCACTTTATTGGGTTGTTTTTAATGCTCAGTTAATAAAATGGAGGCGATACTAGTGAAATAGCTAAGAATTTGGTCGACTGTAATTGGCCTAAAATAAGAGTAAGTGGGCAAAATCGCTGATGCAGTAAAATTCAAGAGTGTAATTTTGTAAATTTTCCATCAAATTTCATACTTTTTGTTTTACCTTCAGAAAACTATTCTCTACCATTTCATAAGTAAAAATAAAAAAATTTTTTTAATTCTTGGACAAGGCACAGAATTATGGAATGGACCCTCAAAGGGTTAAATCCATTTGCTCCTCTCCGTTGAAATTCTCACACGTGTAGTTTTAAATATATTTCTTTCTTTTCTAAGTAAAATTAATATTTTTTACATAAGGTGCAGAAGCAGATTTTTCTCATACGAGGATTATTATTATAAAAAAGAAGCGCTAAACCACAAGGGCTATACAGCGCTGCTCTTATACGAGGGAAAAAATATTGTAGTTGCAATGTATACTATGTTGATGATTCATCAAATCCTACTGAGGGTCCATTTAATTCTCATTTTTAGACTTTAAATATAGAATATTAATTTCTTTTTATAATTGATTTCAGTTCATATTACTCTGAACATAACATCCACAATAACATTACAGTCCATAACTTTATACTAATACTAACAAGACTTGTACCTTAGGGTATTGTCCGGTTTTGTGTCTGCGGTAGAGAACGACAGCAACCACCAGCCCACAGACTAACATGGCAGAAATAACAGTAAAGATGACAGTAGCAGCAAGGTAGGGAGGTTCCAAAGCCACAGCCTCACTCACAACCTCCCTGGCTCCAGAACGCACCTCCAGGGGCGTCTCCCATCGAGGTTCTGACACTTGATGATGGAACCACGATGCACGGAGGTCAGCAGGGAGACGCTCCTCATCTACTTGCAGAGCTAGTTCACCCTTTTTCACCTGGTTAAGAAAAATATTCAATAACAAACACAACACAATGCTGAGCAGAATTAAGACCAAGATAATTACAGAAACATGGGGAAGATGACAAACATATGTGGCAATTTACTTGAAGGCAGATACTGACAAATGCATGTTGTTTTGATACAGTTACAACTCTTCCAGTGAAAAACAGTTTACCAGTTAGACTGGAATCCACTGGTACAGTGGAACTCCCACATATTGGAATGGTGGACAACATGAATCTTCAATGACTTGCCAGCAGACAATACACTGCCTCAAAGGGGTTGGAGGAAAGTTGGGCTTCTTAGGCCTTACGCTCATCTTGAGCAACAGGAACAATGTTAAGATAGGCATAAGAATTAACAACTGGGCATATACACTGCAATGTCACTAAACTTATGACACTTGAGTTTGACTCCGATTCAGTATTGTATGACCCTGGAGGTTTAGCGCTTAGTTTTGATTAAAATGATGATAACTACTGAGTTATTTCTGACTCTGTCATCAATGAAGGCTCTTGACTCTCATAATGACTAACATGCTCAATGAAGAAGCCAGATATAATACTCAAAAATCCTGGGAAAAGGAATTCACGTACGTATAACTGTTATTCCATCACACACTAGATTACGCTTTTATGATAAGGTTGATAAGTTAGCCAAAAGAAAGTACCCTGAAGGAAAACGTAGAATATAATTTGGTGTCTGTATATAGCATTAGGAATAATGTTAGGAGAAAAGTAAATAATGAAACAAGATTTTAGAAATGTAGTTAAAAGCCTGAGTAGATCTATCACTCGCTATAACAGATGAGTACATTTATGGAGCAACTTGCAATGTGAACAGACAATGTAGTAGCCAGGCTTAGACTTGGTTACAAGTACTTTTGCCAGTTTGGCTGGCAGATAGATGGTGATCAAACCAAATGCAAAGTATGTGACCAGCCCACTGGTCACTATCTTGAACACTATGCTTAACTGTCCACTTGTTGAGAAATAGAGATAGGCAGTATAATAGCCTATATGATATGTCAATACATCTTGTTAATGAAAATAAGATACCAGACATACTAAGCAAATTTCCTAAATCTGATTACAACAGATGAGAAAATTGTAGATATAAATCCAGATGTACTCTTATTAACCCTTTTGGAGGCCTAGTTCCTAGACCTTTAGTGTATTCATATGTTCTTGCCCTACCATTTGCAGGCTGGATATGGGAGGTGCATAAAGTAGCCCCTTCATTGGCAACATCTAAAATCTCTAAAAGGACACCATTGTTTTTGTTAGGGATACCTCGAGGGTGTTTCAGGGGTTAATGCTCCCATGGCCTGGTCCATGACCAGCCTCAATGTATGAATAATCTAGAGGGGTTGGGGTGTTATGATTCAAAATCTATGTCGGTGCAACCATCTTAGGCTGTTCAAGGGAATTTATTTCTCAATAATATGAGTGTTCTACACTTCATTGTAAACACTCATATATATTTTTTTTTTTTTAACAAGTCGGCCGTCTCCCACCGAGGCAGGGTGACCCAAAGAGAAAGAAAATCCCCAAAAAGAAAATACTTTCATCATTCAAAAACTTTCACCTCACTCACACATAATCACTGTTTTTGCAGAGGTGCCCAGAATACAACAGTTTAGAAGTAGTATATACATATAAAAATACACAATATATAATTAATTATATATTATATTAATTATATAATTAATGTTTTAACTGTGGGAAGATATGCAATTTTAGTTACCACGCGTGAGGAAATTTTGAGAGAGAAAAAAAAACAAAAAAAAATTTGAGCATATTTTTCTAAATAGAACTATGAAAAGAAAAAAATCAAAGCAAATGAAAACTAATAATTTTATGGCGTGTTGAAGTCGGTGAAAAATGATTACTACTTGGCAGCAACAGCAGTGTAAATGTGCATGGCGGTACTTGCTGTATATTTTACAATTTGACTTCAAACTATGATTTCAATTATTTTAATGTCTAACACTAGTTTTGTGTACAAAGAAAAATTATTTTTTCCAATGGTCTCAAGGGACACAGAAGATACAGGCACAAAAAAAAAAAAAAATGCCATGTAGATTTGATTTAGGATAACCCAGGAGAGTCGAACAATGGGACTTACTGACCCATCAGTTATTGGACAATTTTGGCTAACTTTCACTGTTAGTATCAAATTTTAATAAATTCTGAACAAGTATGGCAGCTACTGCCAGTTCCACACTCTGTTTCCTGATGTAGCTGTCAACTTTCAACAATCTGCATGTGTGTGTGTGTTTTGCTAAAGCAGTGTTGTCAATGATGCTGTGTGTGGATCTACCTGAGACAACAATTTTTTCTCATAGGTGTAAGGAGGTAGTGGGTGGCCCAAACAGTTGAGCCATGGCCTAAAGTTGAGTGTATGGCATATCTAAATACATAAAAAATTAAATACAGCCTCTCCTCACTTAGCGATGTACTTATTTACCGACAACTCGGACTTATGATGGGCTCTCTTAACAAGTATGCATACCTAAATAATGTATATTTGAGCTGATTTCCTCTATTTTGTTTATTACAATATACAGTACACTACTATATAAACATTTAAAAATATACTGAAGATGTTATAAATGGTGCAAAGATGACATTAAAACAATACAAAGATGGTTGATACAAACCCACCACCATTATTATATGCTCCTTGCTTAGCGATGAATTCATTTACCAATGTGGTCTTAGGAACGGAAATCTGTCGTTAAGTGAGGAGAGGCTGTATACTGTATATATGTCTTTCTCCATGGGGAAATGGAGAAGGATCCTTTCTCCATAAGCCATGTGTGTCATAAGAGGTGGGATACAGCCAGTGTGTTGAAAGAAAGAAGAAACGAGGAAGAATGCTGCAGACCTATTGGCCCAAACTAGGCAGGTCCTTCTCAAACCCAAGCCCACTAACAAAAATATCTGCTCAACCTATTTTTCAGTGTTACCCAATTAATAAGTTTTGATAATCCTATAAACTATTAACCCTATTCATATCTTAATTCAATAAATCAATTAGTACAAAGATGAATCACTGATGTTTTAATGCATTTTATTCATAAAAAAAGTTAATTTAATACAAACTGTGAAGACTACTATATTAATTTAAAACACTGATGTATAGTGTTGTACGATTATGTTAATCAAGATATTCATGAAGTAAATACTGAAGTTTTCAAGTGAAAACCTTGTATATAAGTACAGTGGACCCCCGGTTAATGATATTTTTTCACTCCAGAAGTATGTTCAGGTGCCAGTACTGACCGAATTTGTTCCCATAAGAAATATTGTGAAGTAGATTAGTCCATTTCAGACCCCAAGACATACACGTACAAATGCACTTACATAAATACACTTACATAATTGGTCACATTCGGAGGTAATCGTTATGCGGGGGTCCACTGTATTTTACTTTGCTATATTACCTTTTCTTCCAGCTGGTATGCTACATCGATCTTGTTATTGCCAAGAAGTGTGAACTTGACCTGTGTGAGGTCAGGAAGGTCGACGACACCCACTTCATTTTCTAAAGTCTCAGCAGTCATTTGTTTTAAAAGGGTATTCACCTGGAAAATACACAAATATCAGCTTCCTGATACATTAGCCTATCTTTTTTTTTTCCTTAATGGCCACCTTCTACCAAGACAGGATGACCCAATAAAATGGAACACACATTCACTATCATTTATTCAATTAGTGTATTGCTGATAGTGTGCTGACATCACAATCAGTTCATCCTCTGACTGCAACATCCCCACCCCTTCCCCAGAGTGAAGGCACTGCCCTTCCCACCTCCAAAATAAATCTAGCTAACCATTCTTCCCTACCCCCCCCCCCCAAGTCCCTTAAATGTTACCTTCCTTACACTCCAACAGCACATTTATTAACCCCTAGGCTGTCTGTCATGTACATGTCCACAGGGTCTATGGCTGTGATGTATTAGCATGTCACTGTTACAGCGCCTTTAAATTTCTAGGAGTGGCAAATTTTGGTTTACACAGGAGAGAAAGGGGATCTTACAGGGGTGTCCCCCCCACATATGCTTTCCCTAGGAACAGCAACTTCTGCCCCTTGTTTGAGTTAACATATTACTTTGTTAGTTGTTTTTTTAGGTGTAAATAAAATTAGGCTAGTAACTTTCCAATGAAAAGGGACACTTTTGGGGTGATTTAAAAACCTGACAGGGCCCTGGAAGATTGTCAAACGGGCAAAAAGGTTAAATTTTGTGTTTTTTTTTCCAAAGGGGAGAAGGGGGTTCCCTGTCTTTTTTATTTTTTTTTTTTTTTTTTACTGGGGTAACTTCAATTACTGTGACTGCCCCAAAATCAGGCCCAAAGAATTTTTGGGCCCAAGGGGTTTATTACCCCTAAAAAATGGGGAAAAATGTTGATTTTTAAAAAAAGGATAAATTCAAAGTGGGCAAAACGCTGTAGTGAAAAATTTCCCTCTGCTGTTTTAAAATTTCATGTCTCTTATTCCATATGAAACCGCAAAAATTTTTCTTTTTTTGGGTCCCCTTACATTCAGAAAAACATTCTATACTATTTTAGAAATATTTTTTTTAATTTCTAATACAGAAAGGGCTTTTAAATTTTGGGGGGTTTCCCCAATAGTTTATGGGTTAAAAAATTACTTGTTTCCAATGACTTGATTTTTCTTTTTTATTAACACATCGGCCATCTCCCACCAAGGCAGGGTGACCCGAAAAAGAAGAAACACTTTCCCTCACATTTACTGGCGGGCCCGAGCATGTCTACCAAAAGTTTTAAAAAAAAAAATGCAACATATCAACACCCCTCCCTTTCAGGGACTGTACTTCCCACTTCCAGAACTCGAGTCTGGCCTGCCGTTTCCCTGAATCCCTTTATAAATGTTACCCTGCTCACACTCCAACTCCTTTCTGTCTATTATAAGAATTTAATATAAATCTTTTATGGCATTTTACTACTTATAAATTTCATAAAAATTTTTTCTTAAAATTTTTCAATATAATTTCATTTGTTTATATACCAAAGAAAAAATTTTCAAAAAACCCCCAAGAAAAAATGAAATATTATTCAAAACACGATGAAATTTTACCAAGGGAACTGTTTGACCATTTTAAACTTTTCCCCAAAGGGTTGGGCGGACTCATTTCAAAATTTTACCTTGCCACTACTGCGCCTACAGTACTTTCCCTTTTTTATTTGACTGAAAAGGGCCTACCGTTGGGAAAAAATATTTCCAAAATAAAATACCCAACGTTGCACATTTTCTTAATCTTTAATTTTTTGGGTTTTTTATACCTTTTTTCAACATATTAATAAACCTGGCAATTCTTTCCCTTTATCATTTAAAAATCAAATAATTTCCCTGTGAATAGTTTCCAGTCATTGTTTCAGTAGCCACAGCTACCTGAGGGGATCCTTAAACACAGCAGTGGGCAGCCAATGTAATTCAAGCTTTTAATCCTTAACCCTGATTAAAAAAAAATCACAACTATTTTTCTTTCACTCAACTATTTTCCATTCACACATACAAAAGTTCTCATACTCAACTGTTTTTTTTCCATTTATTAAGTACATACTGTACAAACCTATTTACATCACTCTCTCTCCTGCAATGGCAAAAATCAATTAAACTAATAAATGAAATAACATTAGATAAGGATTCTCACCAAAATTAATTTTTTTACAAAACTACATATAAATTCTAACAAACCTTACTAAATTAATATAACATTTTGGAATGCAAACAGTGAGGCCACACAGTCATGGAAATGGGAACAATCAAGGATCTGGGAGGAAGGGAAACCCAAATTTTTTTTGGGTAAAAAACCCCTTCACCACATCAAGACCCCTTAAAGGGAACCCTTATTAAAATTAAATATTTTTATACTATCCTAAATAAAGCTTATATATTTATTATAAAATTTTTTTAACTAAATATTTTCTACTATCACTGTCTCCAAAAACTCATTTTGTGTATGATTTAAAATTAGTGTTCCCCTGTTCCAACCATTCGACAAGGGTAAAGAAATTAATAAGGTGAACTTCATTGTGATTTCTGTTTATGAGCTGCAAATTCTGATTCTCATTACCCCCCTACTTGCCTTTGCTTTCCCAAAGTTTTAAAACCCCACTTCACTCCAGGGGAACCCAATGTTACCACCACCGTTTCTACTGCCACGGATCTTTTAAAGCAGTGCATGTATATTAACCAAAACAAATAATTAAAGAAAAGGACACAAGTGCAACAAATTTTGGCATTTTGTGGCAACGTTTGCTCTCCAGGAGTTTTATCAACTGTTCAAACAATACAGGCACAGAGGGTATATATAGGCTCAAGTGGGGTGTAATACAGGGGTAGTAGAGTAACAAAGTTGTAAAGAAATATAATCAATACAGTAGAACAGCCCAAATTTTGCAAATGACAAAAGGTTTTTAAAAAACTATTATTGGGTAACAAAAAAAATAGGAGGGACAAATTATTTCTGTTTGTCATTCTCTTTTTTGTTTTCTTGTTTTTGCAGAACATTTACTTTTTTGAGGAGGATTTTTGCTTTTATTTCAGAATATAAAAAACTGCCTTTATTTTGCTTGATTGTGTTTTAAAACAGAATTAAAGATGATTCAAGCATTTACATCTGCAAAAATTTTGGACTAATTACAGTGGCATTGTTGAACTCATGAGGTATTGTGGAATTCCATGTTGACACAGGGGTTGTTCAATTTCATTCGTACATGCTTAATGTGTTCATTGAGGCGTTTTTAAGTTCCCACTGTTTCACCTCATATACTTTTCACAGCCTCCACAAGGTAAGTTAAACTCCGCATTGATGGGTTTATGGGGTTTGATTTTGTCCGTCAACCCTTATGGAAGTGCTGGAGCGTCTGGCCAGGACAAAATCGAACCACCATAACCAATCAATCAGGGGTTTACACATTCCTTGTGGAGGGTGTGACAAATATATATGTAGGTGAAAAGGGAAAGGAATGAAAAAGATGAAAAAAAAGCATTAGGAAAGAAACTGAACAACGCCTGTGTACAAACCGAAGATTTGCAAAAATCATCCCAAAAAAGTAAACCCTGCCATCACATATCTCTGCACACAAAACCAACAAAAGGAAAACTGAAACAGACCTTCTCAGATCCAAACCCCCAACAGAAATATTTGCTAACCCATTTTTTGTTCCCAAGTAATAGCTTTCATAACCTTTTTTCTCATGTGCAAGTTTACTGTTTCTACCTAGATTACTACTACTATTAAAACTTTGTTTCTACTACATCACTACTAGTATTACCCTCCTCTGAGCCTATATATACCCTCGTGTCCTGTATTATTTAACGGCTTGATAAAGCTCCTGGGGAGCGAAAATTGCCACAATAAAATGCCACATTAGTTGCACTTCTGTCCTTTTTTCTTTACATACTGTCGATAATTCTCCAAAAATTATTACAAATGTATAGAGGTGAAGTGGTGAATGATGATGAAAGTATTTTCTTTTTGGGGTTTTTTTTTTTTTTGGGTCACACGCCTCGGGGGGAGACAACTGAATATTGAAAAAAAAAAAAAAAGGGTTAGGTCATTTTTGAAAGCATTATATATCAAAAGGTGTCAAATTCTTCTTTAAAAAACAGAAGATGGGATTTGTCATAATAAAAGCTAATAAAAATTTTTAAAAAGAGAAAAAAGGGGTTTAAAAAATCGTAATGACACGATTGCAAAAAAACCGTACCCCCCCGGGCCGGGGTTGAACCCCAACGGGGTGGGGTTTTTTAGACTCTATACCGCGGTTCAACCCGGGCCGGGGGGATGGGTTTGAGAAACCAGGGGCTTTTAACCCCCTTTTCCGTATTATTACAAAAAGAAAAAAAAAAAAATTTCTGTTTTCCTTTTCCACTCACCCTGCCTCAGTAAAGACATGGTGTGATAATTTTTTTTTTTTAAACATTATGAAATATTTAACTTATCTGAAGTATGCTAACCAAAGCCAAATGAACTTGTTTGTACTGTAGGTCCAAATGCAGACTACTTTTATTTTCCCCCTCCAAATTTGGCATAAAAGGGGTTTTAATCCGTCTGTGCATATTAAAAAAAATCGGGCCACTTAATCCTTTTGGGAAGAAGTTCAATTGATCCCAGCTAGAGCAAACAGCTGACAAACACCGGGGATTACTGTGTCATATCGTATTAAAAAATTTTCCCTTTTTAAAAAGGAAGTGGAAGGGGGCCACAGGGGTTGGGGGAAATATAAAAAACCTCGAAATAGCCCCTGGTAACTTTTTGTGCACTCCTTTCTTTTTTTGTCCAGGTTGTCATCCTGCTAAATGCCCTAAATCTATCCCTATGAAAAAAAAATGAATCTGGAAAGAAAAACACTATTTGCCGGGGTTGGCGGGCGGTTTTGGGCTGTCTCTCTGTCTGTATCTGTCTCTGTCTCTTCCTTCTCCTTTTACGTATACAATAAGTACAGTTTTATACAGTGTAAATTACCTAGGGTAACCCAAAATTTTAGGGAAAGTGCTATACATGCCTTTGATATAAGACATAATAAGATGAATGGCAATAAATAAATTTTACTTC